GAGATCTGCTAATTGATCCTTTGTAGGAACATACACAGGCCTGATCATTCCACACTTAATCTTGTCTCTAATGAAATGACAACCAATCTCTATATGCTTCGTTCGTTCGTGGAAAATTGGATTGGCTGCAATTTGCATAGCAGCCTTGCTGTCAGTGTGCACTATTATTGGTTCTCTAGTTTCAATGCCTAGCTCTTTGCACAACCCCAACAACCAAGTGATTTCTGCTACTGCTGATGCCGTGCTCCTGTATTCTGCCTCTACTGAACTTCTAGATACTGTCTGTTGCTTCTTTGACTTCCAAGAGATCAAAGTCCCCAAGTTTCACAACATATCCTGTTACTGACCTGCTTGTGTTTGGGCATGATGCCCAATCTGAATCACACCAACATGTCAACTCATTGACTTCTGTAGCCTGCATCAAAATTCCTTGACCTGCTGTGCCTCTTAGATACCTAACCAGCCTTGTTGCAGCCTCCCAGTGTGACTGCTTTCGTGCTTGCATGAACTGACTGCAAAGTTGATATCACGTCTTGTGATAGTGACATACATTTGTCTCCCAATCAACCTCTGGTATTTGTTGATGTCTTCCAGTATTCCATCACCTTTGACTCCAACTGCCTCATCAAACTCCACAGTTGTTAGCTTCAGATTACATTCCAAAGGTGTGTTGGCTACCCTAGCACCACTTAGGCCTAGATCAGAAACCAACTCCAACACATACTTCCTTTGATTTAGGATGACACCTGACTTAGACCTCAAGACTTCAATGCCCAGGAAATACCTGAGCTCTCCCAGATCTTTTAGTTTGAATTTTCTATGCAACACTCCTTTAGCCTCATCAATCAACTCAGTGCTGCTTCCAGTGATGAGTAAATTATCCACATACACTAAAACAATCACCACATTTTTTGCCCTTTTTAAGGTGAACAATGAATAGTCGTAGCTGCTCTGCATAAAGCCTGCTTCTACTAGTGCATCTGTTAGTTTGATGTTCCACTGCCTGGATGCCTGTTTTAGTCCATATAAGGACTTGAGCAACCTACAAACTTTCTGCCCGCCTGTCTCCTGAATCCTTATGGCATTTCCATGTAAACCTTTTCATACAGATCACCTTGCAAAAATACATTATACACATCCATTTGATACATATTCCAGCCCTTAGAGACAACTAATGCAATCACTGTCCTTACTGTGACCATCTTGACCACAGGGGAGAAGGTGTCATGATAATCCAATCCCTCTCTTTGACTGTAGCCCTTTGCAACTAGCCTTGCCTTAAATCTTTCAACCTCACCATTGGCTTGGTATTTGATTTTATATACCCACTTTGAACCAACTGTGTTCTTGCCCTTAGAAAGTGTCACTACCTCCCAGGTCTTGTTTTCTTCCAAGGCTTTAATCTCCTGCTTCATAGCTTCTACTCATCTTTCATCCTTAACTGCTTCCTTGAAGGTCTGAGGTTCAATTAAGGTGGAGAACTTGGCAAGATAGCTTTGATAAGCTGGTGTAACCTTGTCATAAGACAGATAATTGGAGATGGGATGTTTGGTCCTAGTCTTGTCACCTTGAATCACATAATCCTTCATCCAGATGGGTTGTTTACTTGTTCTAGCAGACCTCTTGAGAGTTGTAGGTTGATCATGTGTCATTACACCCTCCTCAACCTGCAACTCCTCAAGAGATGAGGCTGCACCTGTATCTGTCAGCAGTTGCTCTTCATTAGTAGGTAAGGGTACCTGTTCTGCACTAGAACCACTCTGCTCATCAATATCATTTTCAATGGCATAATCTTGTGCCCCAGCATCAGATCCTTGATCAAAATTGCTATTTGAATGTTCCTCACCTGCAAAACAATCATCAAACAAGTTGTGCTGCTCCATAGGAGCAGGAGTGTCATGGACTTCAGCCTGAACTGTGATGGATGCTTTGGCAAAAGGAAATTCATTTTCCTTGAATATGACATCTCTATTCACAAAGAATTGATGTGTGTGGAGGTCCAGAAGTATATAACCCTTCCGAGTCTCTGAATATCCCATCAACATTGCAGCTCTAGCTCTTTCTCCAAACTTGCCTCCTTTGAGTACATTGGTTGCATAGCACAAACACCCAATGACTCTCATATGTGTTAAGGAAGGCTTCTTCTTGTATTGAAGTTCATAGGGACTTCTTCGTTGGATCACAGCAGAATTCAGTCTGTTCATCAAATATACTGCTGTCTGAATACAAATACACCAGTATCTGATTGGCATTCTAGATTGAAATCTCAATGCTCTAGCTATGTTTAGAATGTGTCTGTGCTTCCTTTCTACAATCCCATTCTGTTGGGGTGTATGCACACAGCTACTACTCTGATGAACTATCCCCGGATCTTGAAACAATGAGCTGCATTGTGAGTTGAAGAACTCTGTTCCATTATCAGTCCTGATCACCTTTACTATGACTCCAAACTGAGTCTTAACCCTAGCAAGGAAAGACTTGATACTAACTATAACTTTTGTTTTAAGTTGCAGTAAGTAAATCCATGTATATCTACAATAGTCATCAGCCACAGTCAAGAAATAGTACTTTTTGTCAAATGTTGGTTTTTTATAAGGTCCCCAAAGGTCCATATGTACAAGACAAAATATAGAATCAGCTCTTGAACTGTTAGTAAGAAACACCAATCTAGTCTGTTTTGCTAAAGGACAAACTGGACACTTATTTATCAAAGTAATATCCACATTACTATGTACAATTTTCATATATTTCATTGCTGACAAGGAAGGGTGACCCAGCCTCTTGTGCCATAAGCTGCAGTCCTCCTTACAAGCTATTGCCATTATTCTGTGTCCTGTATCTTCATCACTACCATGTCCCCTCTTAAAGATGTAAAGGCCACCTCTTTCTCTACCAATCCCCTTCACCCTGCCACTGTAAAGCTCCTGAAAGAGCAGAAGTGAGGGAAAAAGTCTCCTGAACACATAAGTTCCTTTGTCAATTTTGACACAGATAATAAATTGTACTTAAAATCTGGCACAAATAGCACATTTGTAATTCTCTTGTTATCAAATAGGAAGCTTCACCAGTATGTGTTATGTTGCCTTAGCTCCTGTAGGTAAATGTACTTGTCACATGTGTGTGACCTTGACAAATGATCTGGTTCTAATATATCTTTGTTTGATACTACATGATGTGATGCTCCTGAATCAACAATCCATTCATCATTTGTCAATTTCGACAAGAAACAATATATATCATTACCTGTCATGTTAACCTAAGTGTTGTCCCCTGTGTCCTTGTTCAACAAGTTGAGAATCTGGTTGTACTGCTCCTCAGTGAAGTGAGGAATTTTCCTTTCTAACATTCCTTCAAGGCTGTGTTGTGCTTGTGTCTGACCTTCCATGTTGCTGGAGGTGTTGTTCACAGCAGCAAATGGTTGTCTACCATTCCCAGATTGTCCTCCAAATCTAGTTGGAGCTCTATAACCAGCTAAACCTGCAACATTTCCACTCCCATAAGCAGCATTTCCATTTCCATAGGGTCCTTTCTTCCTTTGCTTGAAATCAGTAGGATATCCAACTAGCTTATAGCAATTCTCCTTTGAATGCCCCTTCATATTGCAATAGACACACACACACTAAAAAAGGCTTCTTTCCTTTATAAGTCTGTCCACGATTCATCTGCATAGCCATTGGATCTCCTTTCTCAGCAGATACATTCAAACCAACAGAGTGTTGGCTTTCATCTTCAACATCATAGCATAAGCCTGATTAAGTGTGGGTACAGTTGTTTTTAACAGGATTTGCCTTCTAGCTTGGTCATACGAGTCGTTTAGACCACTAAGAAATTGCAACAATCTGTGTTGATAGAAGTGTTCAATATAATCATTCGACTTAGCACAATCACAACCGGGTGGAGGTACCATTGCATCATATTCAGCCCACAATTCCTTCAATTTTGAAAAATACACAAAGACTGAATTAGTACCTTGTGATAGTGTCGCATTTGCCGATGAACTTGAAAAATCCTCATGCGATTCACTTTGTCAAATCGCTCTTGTAAGTCCTGCCAAACAGCGTAAGAGTCAGATGCATACACAATTCCACTGAGGAGGTCAACTGATACTGTGTTCATGATCCATGAGAGGACTGTCGGTTGCAAGTGTCCTATTGCTCATGCAACTCTACCTCAAAGGATTCTCGCTTACAGGTACCAGTTACAAACCCTAATTTCCTCTTCGCCATGAGAGCAATCCGCATCGATCTGCTCCACATTTCATAATTCTCCGATCCAGTGAGCTTCACGGGAATCAATATCATACCAGGTGTATCTCCTGGATTCATGAACAGGGGATGAGTGTAGATGAGTTTATCAGCTGAAAGTTTTTCCGCCATAGCTGAGCAAAATGAACAGATTTTGATTCGATTCCTTCACTGTTAATCTTCAATCGTGAACCTCGAACATCTACTTGTGGATCAATGCTCTGATACCATGCCAAAATACTGCAATCACTCCATTAATTCTGAGCATCAATGATCTAGAATGTTCTAAAGAGAAGAGAAAAAGGAAATGAACTGCAGAGGAAGAAGAAGAAAGTGGAAGCCTACTATTTCATTGCCACTAACAGATATTTATATACAAATATCCTAACCGCCTAATAACAACTAATTACTTCTTACAACTAATTACAACTAACTTAAGACACCTTAGTTGGCATCTAGCTGGCAGCCAGCTGTACACAGCTTGCCACATGGGCATATCACAATAGACCGATTATCTGCACTTGTAAATTCATTAATCAATATCACTAATAGATAAACTAAAAAGAGAGACAAAATTGACGGCAATAGTTATGCGTTAAGACATGGGATAAAAGAATTACATAAAAAGTTTCTTTTACTTGAAGAAAACAAGACTATATTGCGAGAAGCAACAATACGTGTTTATTGGGCTTTCATCTCCTTACATATAACCGGGGGAGGGGGGGGGGGGGGGGCTGTTGTGTGTGGAGTTGCCAATTTGGATTCCATGTTCATACTACAATTTATTTAGCACTGGAAGCGGAGCCACCTCTTGCCGGAAAATTGTAATGTGGATAGATAATTAATGTATATATGTTAAATTCACTTAACTTTTTCGTGTATTTATTTTTTTATATTTTAATTCTTAACTCCACCATTGATACTAAATGTCGTATAATTATTCTTCGACTATTTATTGGGTTCTAAATTTGATCCTTGTTCATGCCTATGATTTTCTTGAGTAGTAAACAAATCGGCGTGGGGTGTTAGTCTTTTTCTTTTGTTTTTGGTAATTTAGAGTTGTTATTTCTATTAATTTTCTGTTTTGGTCATTTTGGGCTCAGAAATACGATATAGATAACCCTGGTTGATGCAGAGGATTTTGGCTGGGACACGTTTTCCAGTCCAGCGTCCAAAAGAACGATTTTCTATTACTCTAGTATTTAAGGTTTGAATAATTTTTCATTTGATTAAAATTTCTGTAAAGGATAAATATTGTGAGTTGTAATATTTTTTACATGAATTTTTTGAATAAAAAAGATAAGAATAAGTCTGTCAGAAACTATCTTTTGCGAATTCAGAAGCCGTTACATATGAATGTCAACAAGAAAAAGTATGAAATTGCTGCTGTCTACTTCTAAATAATGAAAAATGAAGCAGAATTGGGTGGGGGATGAGCCATCGCCCATCAGGAGTAGTAAATTAGTGTTCAAAGAAAATTTTGGCAGCAATAATTTGATAATTTTGATAAAGAAAAAGAGATCATGTAAAGCACGAATTATAGTTTAGATATGGTCAGCTCAATCCTCAACATCATTATCCACTAGGGCATGACAAAGAGAGAGAAAGTTAGGAAATAGAATAAGGTTAAAATATGCTTTAGGTGAGTAAGAACAAGACACAGTCGTATGTGTCAGCACAAGATGTATATAGAATATGTCACCTTTACACTTTAGCTGAAAAAGGAATTGTGACAAAAGATTTTCTATACAAATCTTTTTAGTGTTCTACTCACTCCTTTCATATTCTTGCTTCCTTTCTTCATTTCTTGATTTTAAACACCAAAGCTAGTTATAAATTACTGAGTCTGCTTCTACTAGCTAAATTGGGATATTCTACTTCAGAGCAATAGATAGAGAAAGACAAAGGAAGTTGACAATATGTTGGAAGGAAAAGCTGTGATTGAAGATACAGATATGCCATTGAAGATGCAGATCCAAGCCATGCGTTGGGCTTCTCAAGCTCTGGATCTTTATGATGTTTTGGACTGCAAATCTATTGCTGCTCACATAAAGAAGGTAATATTCCAATCATTTTTTAACCCACAAAAGACTGCCATTTTCTCTAATTTACGGTTTGAAGTGTATGACCATCTTCTCTAAAGCCGAGCTGGTTAAAAAGAGTGCATTTTTATTTTTTTAATTATACTATTATGTTTCAACATGACCCTCAGGTGTGATCTTAGTAATTTGTATGGGTCAAACACGTGAAAATATTTTTGCTTTTGGATAGCGGTGCAATTTGAACCCAGGCCACATCCTGGCTTGCTCTGATGAATTAGATGATCATCTCATATAAAAGCTTAAGCTGTTATAGAGATTAGAGCACACTTAATTACATAAATATGTTATGTCTTACCTTTACATTCTTTCTTCTAGCTCAGATTGTATGTTCGTAACATCTTTGTAATAATATATGCAGGAATTTGACAAGAAATATGGGGGTGGCTGGCAGTGTGTGGTGGGGTCAAAATTCGGCTGTTTTTTCACTCATACTAAGGGAACATTTATCTATTTCACCTTGGAGACTCTAAACTTCCTCATCTTTAAAGGAGCCACTTCTCCTTGATGTTGGCTTTTCAAGAAAGGTGGACGATTGAGATGAAAATGGGATCTGTAATTATTCTTTAGGTCATTCTTAATCTCTCTCTCTCTCCAAGAACCCTCCCCTTTTTTTGGCTTCGATTTGTTTTTCAGTTTCCACAAGCAAATATCTACTAAAAAGGATAGATGATAATGTAAATATTGGTAGTTGACATCTGCATGGATCTTTCACATTTTTCTTCTAGCTGCTAAGAAGTAAGAACTCTGTATCTTCCAGTGGAATTGCTTTTAAGTTCCTCGTATATCCATGATTAAATTAGTAATGTGTGGTGTTCTCAATATTTACCTCTATCTGGCATAGGAGCAGTTCACATAAGCAAGGATATATAGCAGATAGTTGATTGAATACTCAAAAGATGAGAAATTGTTCAAACTAAAGTGGTCCTTACATTGAGCTGAACATTGCCTGAGATTCAACCACTGTATCTTGGCTCTCAAACTTGAATAGTTGGTGTGCTTGACTGCATACTCGTACTATAAACATTCACAAGAGAGCTGAAGTGAACCATCCTCGTGGCCAATCAGGCATAATCCAAGTTCATTAACATGTTCAGGGGCTTATGAAATGACGAGAAGTGTATGCTTCATTGCGAGGGGGATCCAGACATTCTTTCTGAGAATCTGAAAACAGACATGTACTAGACCTTAAAATTTGACATTAGTTTGAACCTATTGATATATTACATCTTGATTTAGATGTTAGCTCAGTAGTGCTCAATTTCTGTATTGTTGAGCGAATTTACCTTATAATCTGCAATGCAACTACATACTATCTTCCGTTAATTGCTCAAGCACAGAATCTATAAGCAGAGGCGGTAAGGAAAAGACATTTCCACATTGTAAATAGTTTTGTTCAGCTTTTTGACTATATTAGCACCCTATGAAGTTTATAGAAGGTCCATTGTTTTCATGAACTAACTTTTTTCGCTATAGCTTGTAATTTTAGCATCTACTGGATGCACCTGTTAATGAAATTTCACTTAACCTAATAAAAAACAAGAACTTAAAAAGCATTTCCAAGTTCCAACTACAACTTATGCTTTTCAGATGTTTAAATTTAGAAAGAGACCAATCCTTGCTACATAGATAACATTATATTGAGCACCAATGCAGTATCCTGAATATAGAAGTGGAAGAATGCATGACAAAAAATGTCCAAGATCACCATACCTTTTACCAGAAACTGTCAAATAACAGGGGTCAGTAATGGCTTGTCCGAAAAGTGTGCCTCCAAGTTTGCAACCACGAGGTCAGCCATGTCCTTACGAGTCTCCAAAGTGCTAGCTGCCACATGAGGTGATAGGACAACATTATCAAGTCCAGCTAGTAGCACAGGTGCTTCAGGTTCATATTCAAGCACATCAAGCCCTGCTCCTCCCAATCTGCCTTCTGCAAGAGCAGATACCAGCTCAGATTCATCAATATGAGAACCCCTTGCAATGTTGATAACAACTCCATTTGGACCCAATGCAGCTATAACTTCACGGTTGATAATGTGGTGAGTTTCATCAGTTAAGGCACAAGCAACAACGAGGATCTGACAGTTGGAGGCTAAGTCGATTACACGTGGATAATAGGTGTACGTTGACTCTGGTTTTCGTGAACGTGAATGATAACTGATTGAACATCCAAAAGCTTCAGCTCTTTTTGCAATTGCTGAACCAATTCTCCCTAAACCTACTATACCTACTGATTTGCCGCTAAACTGAAAGAAAAATATGAAGAGCAAACCAAGATAAGCTCTTTGTAGAAACAAAGCTTAGATAGGCAAAAGTCAAAGGGTAGCTTAAGTACTCCAAAAGAAGAATATGTTCAAAATACACAAGTTCATCGTGGAAAGCAGGCAATAGGGTTGACTCAATTGCATCAGACCATCTTCAAGACTTCAACTAGGGCATTTGATGAACACGTGACTAGAGGCGGATGTAGCCTATACTCTATGGGTTCAACTAAACATAGTACTTTAAACACGGAACATAAATGTATATGTGAAAAAGTACTAAAGCTTCAATAAACATTAATTTCTGAAACCATAATTTCAAACGTACAATGAGTTCAGCCTAAAAATCTAAACTATTGAACCAATCAAGTTTAAATCTTGGATGCAGCCTCTGAACACGTTTTAGAAGCATTAACCCAAGAATCTTGAACAAAAGCCAAAATTTTACTCCTATTGTTTACAACTAATTTGCCTCTGTCAGCATTAAGTTAATGAATGAAAGAAAAAGCACGTTTGACTCTGTTTCTAACTAAATTCAACTAAAGATGCAAACTGGTAAGCAAAAGGCACGAACTTTAAAGGCTAAAAGATGTATATAGTGGGCAAAATCAGATATAACAGTTGTACAAGAATAATACCTTAGCGGTCAATTTGAAATCCTTTTCCTTCCAAATCCCATTCCTCACGAATTGATCAGCTTCACAAATTCTCCTCAATGTTGCGAGTGTGAGTAAAATGGCCATGTCAGCAACGTCATCGGTGAGAGCATCGGGAGTGGAAGTGACCCTAATCCCTCTCTCTTTACACTTCACCAAATCAATCTTGTCAAGCCCTGAACTGTGACTCGATACAATTTCCAATCTGGGTAGCGAATCAATCAACGCCGAATTAGCTCCCTGAACTCCATTCCCCACTACTGCTCGGATGGAGTCGGAGTGTTGTTTGAGAGATTCAGAGGGAATTTCCCAGTATTTGAAGAGAGTGAAACGTTTGGCTAGCTCTTGCTGGAGGTAATTGGACAGCGGACGCATCAATAATACCCCTATCCCCTCCATTTTTGCTTTACTAGGACAGAAGGAGCTCTTTTTTGTTCATTCGCACTTCAGTACGCAAGTTTTGAAAGAGCTCTTTTTTGCTTTTGTTTTTATTTTAAATAGAGGTGCTTGGAAGCTTTTAGCATAAAAAATAAAAAAGAGCTTTGAGTATTAGTAGAAGCAATTTTAGAGAAAAAAAAATAGCTTTTTAAAAACTTGACCAAACACTAATTGTTGCTTAGAAGTATTTTTTTGAATTAATTAGTCAAACACAAATATTTCTCACCAAAAATACTTTCGAGAAAAATATTTTTGAAAAAAAATACTTTCTCAAAATAAGCTGATTTTAGAAATTTCGCCAAACAAGCTATTAGTATCCTGTGTTATGTCTTCAGATTTGTTTCTTTTAAAAAAAATTCTTTATTCACACACAACAAAAGGTGTTCCGATAAAGCTTATATGCTGGTTAAAACACTTTTTTGCGACTTATCTATAAACTCCAAAAATGCTTATAAGACAAAATCAGCAACAAGTTATAGTTGGATCACACTCAACTTTAGTTTTTCTAAAGTATAAGCACTTTTGGTTGGCTAGACGAAGAAAGGAAGGTTGTGCTCCTAAAACATTAAACAATATACAGTGGAATTGGCACTAAAACTTGGAGGAGTTTTCAATGAGCTTCAGTCCGTTGTTCAATTTAATAACTTCAACATGAATGTCCAGACAGTTTGAATAATAAAAGTGAAACACTCAAAGCGAGCATCAATTCAATTCAAGGTTGAGTTGACAATATGCATTACTAAATAGTTTATCTTCCCCTCATCATTGCAAAACTATCACAGGACAGTCTCTCCAACCTAGAAAGTGACCGATCAATCAATACCACCAATTTGATCACAAATTCTCTAATGAACTCTCTCATTAAACCATCAATCTTGTATTGTTATTAGGCTTATGTTTATGTTCAAGAGACGATAGTATTGAAATAGTCCAATAAAAAGATTGACAGCAAGTTGAAGCACCCAAACAATCACGAAACATTTGCTCCAAAAGTTCAGGAGACAATGTGCTCCTACATGAAGTGAACCTAGTTGCTGCAGCAAAAGGTAACCTCCAAACAATAACTAATAGCAGCGGTTCATATACTTAAACCACCGGAGTTAACAGCGGTTTGTTCAAAAAGTGAGCTTCTAAGTTCCCAAGGACAAGGTCGGCCATGGCCTTGCGTGTTTCCACTGTGCCACTGCCTACATGAGGCAATAGGACCACATTCTCAAGGCCAAAGAGCTGCTCAGGTACTTCAGGCTCATTCTCAAACACATCAAGACCAGCACCCCCTAATCGGCCTTCAACAAGAGCAGATACAAGCTCTTTTTCATCAACATGAGGACCCCTACCAATGTTAATCAGAACCCCCTTTGATCCCAAAGCTTCAATGACTTCACGGTTGACAATATGACGAGTTTCAGGAGTCAATGCACATGCCACAACCAGAATCTGGCAATTGGAAGCCAGTTCAACTACACTTGGATAATACTTGTAATTTGTATTTGGCTTCTGTGATCTTGCGTGGTAACTGATCGGGCAGCCAAAAGCTTCTGCTCTCTTAGCAATTGCTAAGCCAATCCTTCCCAGTCCTATAATACCCACTGATTTTCCACTAAACTGCAAAAGAGATAGTAAGATGTAAAGATTAGAATACATCCCAGTGGCCAGAAGTTAATACAATTCAGGCAAATACAAAGAAAAAATAATCGGATATTCATGGGTTTAACTTTACGAAGAAGATTGGATCTCTGGTAAATACACCATTTAATGAATGATTATGTTGCATTTTCCTCGGTTCATGTGCCAGATATAACTGCAGAAAAAGGCTCCAAAAAGTTCCATTAAGAACAATCACAATTGCTACTCTGGTGGCCGTAGCTTCTCACAGTTAATGTGACACCACCTCCAAAACAATTACTTACAACTGATATGGTGATACAATATGCTTTACAGCCTCATTCTAAAGAAACTCAAGTTTTTCGCTAGCCAAAGACGTACTGATATTCATTATCGAATTTTCCAAATGAAAAAATGCTTTGATTTTTGCTGCATGTAATCACAGCCATACAATTAATTGAATTATATTAAAATGAAATGTAATATGCAACATAATAAAAGGCTATTATGGATAGTTTCTCAAATGTTGAGGCCCATCTAAGACAACGAGCATCTCAAGGATAACATATTGTCGCAGATGTATTATTGAAGCAAAGAAGCTTTCATAGCAGGTAGGATAAAAAGGTTGAAAAGGAGAAAGGTGAATATTAAACCATAGGCTGCATGAAATAAACCTCGAGACCAGATACTAAGAGAGTTTACACCAAAGGCACAACAACCTATCTTGTATAGAGAATTTGTTTACAGTCTTAATATTTTCTTGTCAAGAATAAACGACAACTGACAACACAAAAGCTATGAGTTCCATATCACTAACTAGATACTTAATTGGCCTCAAGCACATTAAAATTCCATTAATTCAAAGAATAAGATGCCTTGATAGATATAGGTCAGAGTCTGTAACCATACTTGCCACAATTCCATCCTACGGTAGGCGCCAATACTGTTGAATTTACATCTGGGGGAAAGCGGACATCATGTCCTTTATATAACCGGAGTAAAGCCAAGAATTCACAGATAATATTTTCGTTTATTTATAGCTAAATTTCCCATCTCTTTGCTTCAGGCAGCAAAGCTTCCAAAATCTATGTCTTTCTCATAGACATCAGATGATGTGATACAGACATAAGATGGACAAAATAAAAAGCGGAAAACAAAAAAAAAGGAGGAAAATTGGCGAACCTTAGAAGTCAACTTGAAATCACCAGACTTCCACAACCCTTTCCTAACATAGCGATCGCATTCACAAATCCTCCTAAGAACAGCCAACATCAACCCGATAGCCAAGTCAGCCACGTCCTCGGTCAAAACATCGGGAGTATTAGTAACCCTAATCCCCTTCTCTTTACACTTGTTCAAATCGATCTTATCTAAACCAACACTGAAACTGGAAACAATCTCAAGCTTAGGGAGAGAATCGATGAGCTCAGCGTCAGCGCCGGCGAAGGCGTTGCCGACGACAGCGCGGATGGAATCGGCGTTCTGATTGAGGAATTCGTTCTTCTGGGGAAAGTTCCAGAAGCGGAAGAGCTTGAATCGCTTGTCTAGCTCTTGTTCTAGGTAGGATGACATAGGACACGCCATTAACACTCCGATGCTTTCCATTTTTCTCTTCTTGTTCGTATGAAGAGTGATACAAGTGGACTCTTTTGTTTATAGCTTAGCTAACAAATGAGGGGTTGATCGCTTTCCACTATGTATGGTGAACTTTTTCTTTCGAGGGAAACTAAGAGTATGTTTGGAAAGCCACGGAATTGGTGTAATTACTAGGTTAGTAATTACATGGCCTAGTAATTACACAGTTAGCCTGTTTGTTTGTCATAGTGTAATTATAGTGTAATTACAAATTTACTGTTTGGTTACATAAGTATAATTACACAGTTAGATTAAATTTTAAATTAAGTAATTATCAAAACTAAAAATTAATATAACAAATATATACCTATAAGATTTTATAAGTATAAATGATAATATATTTGATATTTAAGATGCATATTTTTTCGTGAATATACATTAATTAATAATCATATATTATAACTAATATTTTTAAAATAATTTATATATATATATATATATATATATATATATATATATATTTTTTTTTTTTTTTANTATTTATAAATATAGTGTCATAACATTATTCAAATGTTTGACAAAACTAATCTACCAATTCTAACTAAAAAATGAACAACATGCAATGTTAGTCAATACTACAAAACAAGTATATTGGAACCATGAATATAACACAATTTCAAAAATTCAAAAAAATAAAATAGTTTAACTTATGTCAAATTCCAACATAATAATAGTAAGTCCCACTGCAACTTAAGATACGAAACATGATAAGTTTATAACCACATAATAATTGCATCACTCATTATATGCCAAGTTTATTAATGACTAATTATTTCTAATATTAGGAGGTGTAGTATCAAAAAATAGAATAATAAAATAAATAAAAAATAAAATATAACCAATTACATGGAATCACAAGAAGTAAAGATAGAGAAATAAAAGATAAATAATGTACAAAGAAAATATATTTTAAAATTTCAAAAGAAAATAAAAAGTAAAAATAAAATTAAAAAATTAAAATAATAAAAATAAAAAGTTCTAAAGAAAATAAATTAAAATAAAAACAAAAAGGAAAAAAATTAAAAAGCAACCTTGTAATTACATAGTGTAATTACCACTAATTCTCACATTCCCCTTGAGAATCGGAGAGTGTAATTACACCGCTCCAATTACCCCCAATTCCATGCTGACCAAGTAATTACTTGGCCAAACAAACATGTCAAACTGTGTAATTACACCCAATTACACCCAAATCCAATTCCAAGGTGGCTTTCCAAACAAGCTCTAATTGTTTATCCCAATTCCCAAATTCGTGTGTGTATCAAAATTATATACATGGCATATGCTATTTACCTAACTTTTTTTATTTAACTATAATCAATTGATATGATTATTTATTTGAATTCAGCTTAAAAATAATAAATTAATGCAATTAGTGTATACGTCAACTAGAGTAAAAAAAAAAAATTCGACCAAATGTAGCTCAGGAGGAGCGGAGCATCTCACGGAAGTACAAAACTAGGGGAAGTACACAGTTAGCCAGTAATAAAATATGTATTTACTTTTAAGCCACTGTTTAAAATGTCTTTAGTCTTTAGCCACTGCTTTAATAAACTTTTTTCCGCCCGGATGAAAATACCCTTTCGCTCATAAAGTTCAGGACCAAGTGTCCTTAACTTATGAGCTTGTTACTGTAAGTCCAGGACTAGCTGTCCTTAACTTTTGAACTTGGAACTCGAAGTTCAAGACTACCCGTCCTTAATTTTTGTGCTTGTAACTCTAAGTTAAGGACTACCCGTCTTCCGTGCTTGTAACTCTAAGTTAAAGACCAAGTGTCCTTAATTTTTGAACTTTCAACTCTAAGTTCAGAACCAACCCTATTTTACTTTTAAAAGAAACGTAGATTTAAATGGTTGCACAACCCTACGTGAAAGTTAATTAATAAAGGGTTTAATGTTGTTCTTTTGGGTTGACGAATTATAGTAGAATTAAATAAGAAGGATGTATAAAGGGCGAGAGGAAGAACGAGAAACCTGCAACATCTTGCTAACGTTACTAGCACCAAACACCTTGTGAACAATGGCAAACTTGTGGGGATCATCAGGAGGAAAGTAAGGAACAAAGATACAGTCTTTGGCACAACGACGACTTAATAATTTGCAGGAAGCACAAGGAGAAATTAATATGCATTTCCATTTGGGAAGGAAAAGAGATAGAAGAAAGGGTAACACCGTCTTTTCATATCAATTTTAATAGATTAGTGGCTACTTTTGCTCAGCATTAAAAATGCATAAAAAGTAAATACCATTTTAAAAAGTCGCTACCCCACGCATTTTTTACTCCAAAACTAGTCCAACACGTATATGGACCTGAGTAAAGGCTGGACCAGATCAGTACTTAAAATGAATGAAGAAAATAGTATATACTTTTTTAGCATAAAAATAGCACGGGGTAGCCAATTTTCGGACTGGTCATTCAAAAATAGCCAGCATTTGCAAAGTCATTGAAAAATAGCCACTGTTGTGCTGCAACATGGAAAGTTCCAGCATAACATGCTGAAGATCGGTGCATCTGTGTATGAACTTCCAGCATATTATGCTGGAACTCCAACACGCAAAAAGTTCTAGCATAATATACTGAAGATTGGAGCACCGGTGTATGAACTTCCAGCATATTATGCTGGACCGGTATATTATACTAGAACTCCAGTATATTATGCTGGAAGTCCAGTATATTATACTGGAACTCCAGTATATTATATTGGAACTCCAGTATAGTTCCAGTATACTTATGCTGGAACTCCAATATAAGTTCCAGTATATTATACTGGAATTCCAGTATATTATGCTAGAGTATTTTTCGGATTTTGAACAGTATTTTCGTTTAGATTTAGCTTTACATGAAAAATGGCTAAATTTCGATTACTTTTGAAACTATGGCTATTTTTGAATGACCACTTGTAAATCTGGCTATTTTTGAATTTCTCCCTTTTTTAGCCGCTTCCAAAAAATTTACATATAGGTCAAAATCTTCCTCAAGGAGATTTAGCATGAAGTGGTATTACAGAAAGTAATGTGGCCGAGGTCGACTAGTAAACAATGGGGCTCATAGCCAGGTAACCAATAACGGCCGAGGTCAAGTATCAAGGGCAGTATTAACAGCTAGATTTTATAATAGGATCTTTAGGAGAATATTCCATTGAATATTCTCTGTACTTGTACTTTTAGGGTTGACTGGGGGTAAGTCCCAAATAAATAGAAAAAGAGATAAGGGGAAAGGCATGTAATATTCATTTGATAAGAATATTTTTTGAGAAGAAGACTCTCTCATCTAGAAAAGATTCAAACATTGCCTTTTTGTTAAGATTCTATCATCCATTATTCAATATTTTTCTATCAGATCCGAGAATATATCCATTATTCTAGAATTTGTCTGTCACTCATCATTGTCAGAAAGAAGAATCATCCACCTCATTTAATATTGGGTGAATAATTCTATTTATTTACGCTAATGCCATTTATTGTTATTTATTACTTGGTATTTATCTCTCATTACTCAAACCGTTTGGAATATTAAATGCTCACTGCATTTAATCCCCCACCAACATTGTTCTACGTTATCTGTGTTAACCGATTATAAATCTAGGGATATTATCATTAACTAGGTTTAATCCCTCATTATATAAAAATAATTAGCTTAGCCCAAGATTTATGCTTTTTGGTCAAACAATTTGAAGCCGTCTGTAGGGATTTCCTAGTTAAACTTTTAGTTTCCTCTAGATCTATAACTAGCACAGTTCACAAAAAAAGAAGAAGCAAAACTCCTATTTTCTTGTACACACAGATCTGACATGGCAGGTAATGGATAAGAAAGAATGAAGGCAGTGGCTGATCTCGCTACCAACATCTTGAACACCATCAACGAGGTTTCTGAAGCAAAAGGCGAAGATATAACACCTAACGCCTCTCCCAGGCGAGGCGGGTCGCCCCTCCCTCACGACAGTATCACGACATCCCGCGGTAAATGAGCTTCCATGTCCATGACGGAAGAGGCGCCATCAGGAGTAAAAAAACTACTTGAGGCTTGGATGACAAACACGCTGACCAGCATCCTTGACAAGCCCGCCCATGAGGCAGCTAGAGAAAATGCAACGACTTGCATTACGCCAACAACGGCCGAGCAGCACGACCCTCTCCCTTCAGTAACAGGTATCACTCACAATTTTAATAATGCATGTGACGACACCCTCACAACCATTCTGAGAAAGATGGAAGAAATGGAAAATGAAAACAAAATGCTTCGAGTCCAAATGAGAGAGCACCAAGAAAGAGTCAACAAAATACCTGGTGCCCCAAAACTCTTGCCAAAAAGAGACACTGGTCGGTTCGTTGAGCAACCTTACAATGATGAAGCTGCGTCCCCATGCATACCCAAGACCTTCAAGATACCGCCTTATCTGAAAATATATGATGGCACGGCCGACCCCGAAGATTATGTGACTCACTATGTCACTGCGATAAAGGGCAATGGTCTCGCCAAAGAACAAGTATCCTCTATCTTGTTGAAAAAGTTCGGCGAGACCCTCACCAGAGGAGCATTAACTTGGTATTCACAACTGCCTGGGCACTCCATCGAAACATTCGAAGAGATGGCCGACAAGTTTGTAACGACCCATTCTGGGGCCAAAAAGGCGGAGGCAAGAGTGAACGATATATTTGCCATCAAACAATCACCCCTAGAGGGATTGAGGGACTTCCTCGCTCATTTCAACTGAGTAAGGATGACTTTACCAAATGTATCAGAAGGCATGGTTGTAGAAGCTTTCCAAAATAGGCTGAATAGGAACAACTCAAGAGCGACCAGAAAATTATTAAGTCGGCTTATGAAATATCCTCCAACCACTTGGGACGAAATACACAACGCATATTGTACCGAGGTCAGTGCTCACAAAGAAGACGTGAACGGTCCAACCCATCGGTTGACCTCGGTATAGGCCGAATCCAGGAAGGATCAAAGAAATGGTGTTAGAAGGATAGTTAGACCTGGTTCCTGCAGGGCACGACGTGGTATAGATACACCGTCCTAGGTGCTGTGCTTTCTACATGTACCCCTTCCATGTCGGTTATTCTTTACCTATTCTCCCCTTGGC